GAGGTGTGGTAGAATGTGGGGAGGGGGCGCAACACTGTGGGGCACTGTCTGCCCCTTTCGTTACGAACGGATTGGGGGAAGTGCTTGGATGGCACTCTGACAACGCTACTAAGCACTATAAGCACAGAGCGTGTTAAAGTGCCTAAGGTTCTGCCTAGGGGCCGGTGACCTCGACGCCCCAAGGAGTATATGGACTCAACGATCGGCGAAATACGTCGTACTGGCGGTTGAATGTGACCACTGCTAATCACATACAACGCACACCTAAGAGATGCTTAGGTCTATTCCCTCGCTCTCATAGTCCGTTGGGACGGTTAGTCAACGTGACCGTAAAGAGATCAGGCGCAGGACCAACGTCTTTACATGCTTTCCGAAGAACGCACGTAAAGACTGAGAATTTCTTAACAAAAAAACTCAATAACTGATTTTGGCCCGACCTGGGGTTCGAACCCGAGACCTCAAGATCAGCAACCGCGTTTACGACCACTAGACCGACGAGGCAGTCAAACAAAGTACAAGTAAAGTATTAATCCGAACAAAACAGTTTCACTGCAAAACATCGAGCCAAGGTTGTTAACTGTTGTTACTAACAATCAATGTTGGTTTTATTAATTTTTTTTATTAAAAGATTTATAGGTTACTAAACAAAATGGTTTCATGTAATTTTTGTCGGGATAAATTTTTGGAATCCTGCAATTTCATGATCCTAGACTTTTGATGACCTATAGACTTCAACAATTGAATATTATGCAAGTCTTCGCAATCAAAACTCTGGCTTAGAGAATGTGGAAACATAGATGAAATTTTATCAGAAAAATGCTGCATGACTATTTGTATGATCCTTTTTTTATAGTGCTGTTTCATAGAGTTTAAATCTATTTGTTTACATATTCTATGGGTGAACTTTACCACTTGGAACACAGATTTTGACGGAAAAATAGCATGCCTTTATTTACAAACGCAGTAAACGCTGAATTTTGCGTAAATGCGCTGAATTGTGTATAAGCGGTCAACATTTTTACCATTTACCTAACATTTTTTTAATAAAGGTGGTAAATAATAATCTAGAATAAAAATGTCTGGATGTTTGCCATATAGACTGGCCCAGATTATGAGGTAAAAGTACCAAAAATCTACAAAGACGACCAAATATTTGTAAAATAAAAAACGTTGGTTATTTTATTTATTAAAACAAGTTGCAACCGTACTATTTATTTATTTATACCACTACGTAGCTTAATGGTATAAATAAATAAATAGTACGTTAGTAGATATAACCGATTACCAACATCGGTGAACAATCGATTACTGCGAAACAATTAAAATATTTATGTGTATTTCAACACTATGGTTCATACGTAATGAAAAATATATGAAATAGATTATATTAACTTAATTAGATAACATAATGATTTCTTAAATTTACGCGAACACTACACAATTTGAATAAAACTATATCTACGGATTTTATCGCGTTTAGTTAACTATTTTAACTTATTTTTAATTCTTCACGTTTCAGGTGCTTACAGCACGATGACCATGGGGTCACGGGGGTGGGGGGCAAAGATGTTTGACGTCCCAATGTCATAGTTGGCCCGGCTACCTTCAGTTTTTGAATATTAATTTGCAGAAAAAGCTTACAGTATCTTGAAGTCTTGCAGTGGTATGCTTGGTTTTGGGTTTAATTTTGTTAATTATAGGATCACAAGTAGATGACAGCACCCATCCATCTTCTCTATTGAAATTAGGATGTTTTGTAATTTCAATAGCATCGCTAATCATCCTTGGTAGGAATCGGTGTTCTGCAGAATTCTTGGAGCCAGATAGTTAACTCATTTGAGTGAACATGTTCAAGATCGATTACATCATATTTGATAAACCATAAATCCTCGCATAAAAAAGAGACAGATAAAAGATAATTAATACTTAATTTACATAAGTAAATGATAGTTTTATAAGCGACAGTAGCCTAATGGCAGGGCGTGGACCGAGAACTCAAAAAGGTCGTGGGTTCGAATCCACCATTCGAACTATACTGGCGTGAACCACTCGTAACACAAGCAATTTAAGCTTACCACGAGTGGTTAATGGGAATATTAGTAATATTTATAGCATTGTTAATATTATTTAAAAAAATAGTTTACGATTAGAACTAAGGCCATGACGTGAAATGCTTTACAGTTTGTAGTTTTACTGGTTGTTTATATCATTTAGACCGGAACAAAGAAGTGCAAGCACATATTTAAATAGGTGAGAGGTGGCGCACTTATGTATATTATAAGCTGTTATTAAGTTCATGTATTTGGACTAGGACTACTTTTGAAAATAGGTACGGAGTTTTTTTTTGAGCTTTATTTCTTTTTTAGAGACTTTGTAAAACAAAAATTAAAAGACGGCACATAGAAATTCAAAAGTCCTATATGGTTTAAAATCTTTTATATATGCCGTTAGCAAATTTCATTTTCTTGGACAATTTTGGAAAGCTCACTGTTAATATTTGTAAGCAAACAGATTTATTAACAAGGAAGATAAAAAGTGTATTCAATGTATAGATTGATTCAATGTATGACATGTTATTAACAAAGATTTGGCAACAGAATCTAAGGTATTAGTAATGAAATCCATTATTGGAATATAAGCGTAAATATTTCGAGTGTGTTTGTGTGAAAGGAAGCTAATAATATATTGTTTTATTTTGCCATTCACTATATATATATATATAAATTGTAACTATATCGAATATTTTTTATTCATTAAAGTTTATATTCAGGGCCTATTTGTTTTCAAAGATAGCATTTATTATTTTTATTGTAAATGCAGCGAAAACTTTAAGTGAACAGAATATCACACTCTAGTGAATGTATTAGGGATTGAAAGCTTTAATGATGTTTAAAATAGAAATTTTAAAGTTCTGGTGGCCAGTGAATCTGATCATTGTTTGGTCATAGTTGGAGGTGGGAGTACAGTCTGCCATTAGGCAAGATAATCAGCCTTCTCGAGCGATCAACGCTCCACAGAAACTACTATAACGTTTTACTGGAGCACGATTTAGGCTTTGATTATAGTTCATTTCGTTTGGGTTATGCAGCGGTGACAGTGTCATCGCAATTGCGTAACGGGTTCTCGATTCAAATCCATTCCTCCATCCATCATAAGTTCAAAAACACAAATTGTTAATATTCTGGCCGTACTGTAATATTGCATACTTTTGTTCATGAAAAACTACCGCCATTTTCGCGTTACAGGAGCAAGAACGGATAATATGATAGATTTGCAGTGACCCAATTTTGGGTATTTGGGTTAGGGAGGGAGGCCTAACCCCTTCGGAGGGGTGACGCTGCATACTTAACCTACCTTATTGCATAAGAGCCACGCTCAGCAGTAGATATACGGATTGATAAATAAGAAGAAGATATACCTAACGCATAGTTAATAATAATCCAACAGTAATCAAAAGTAGCCACCGTAGGTTAAACCTACAAACAGAAAATAATAATTACATAAAAATAAATGTAAAAAGGGGCCAAGTTCAATACAATGGACGAACAGACAGGAACGTTTTATATTCTTGTAAGTATAATTTAATGAAGTGTTATAATCTTTTAACTCAACTTTGGTATTCGATCACATCAGTATTTTGACACCTAATATCGACAATTCGTTGTTTACATGTTTTACCTTTGTATACAGCTTATGATCTACCTTTCTAATTTACGTAGAAATGGCTTAGATTTTAAATTAATTAGTGAAGGAATCAGTGAATTAGTTATCAGTGAATCAGTGGGTTTAACCCTTCAATATGCACACAGTCGGATCCGACCACGGCAATATTCCATGAGATTCCAAGCGGTCGGGTCGACCACACCTTCCCACAGCAACTCAAACCATAAAAACTTATATTTAAAGACTACTGGTCTATGAAGAAGTTTAGTATTATAGACTCCATGTGAAATTTTCTATCTTATAACGCAATAAAAAACTCAGTTAGTCTATGGTATTTATTTATAATCTACGTTCATTTCGTACGACTGTTAGGTGTGGCGAGTCATTGTGTAGATTTTCGGATTTTTCTAGTGTGTTATCAGTGTTTTGTATAGTGTTTTTATAAAATTGTTATAAAAGCTTTTGTGATTTCTTAAATTTTTGCTTTTGATTGCTTGGGATCCTATAATTAATAAAATTAAACCCAAACCTAAGCATACCACCGCAAGACTTCATGATACTATAAGCTCGTTTTGCGTAAATCGGACCAAAAAATTAATATTTAAAAACTGAAGGTAGCCGGACTAACTATGACATTGTGACGTCAAACATCTCAGTCCCCCCCAGTGACCATGGTTGCTGTAAAGCACCCGAAACGTCGGGAATTAAAAATAATTAAAAGTAGTGAAATAAACGCGATAAAATCCGTAAATTTAGTTTTATTCAAAAGCTTTTGTGTGAATATAATTTATATTTTTCCGTAAATAATTTCTAGTAATATACAGAAATAATTGTGATATTCACGCTGCTGTTCTGCGCTGGATATGTACATTTTTTACTATTAAAATCTATTTGTAATGAAGAAGAAGCACAAAAACAAGTAATATAACGTAGTAAATAAACAGAAACAAGTATTATATTGAAATTTATAATGAATTTTATTGAAAATAAATGTACGACAAATTCCATGTAAGGTTATTTTTAGCGACGCCGCGTCACGCGAAGCGCGCGAGCGGTGCGAACATTTTAGCTGGGAACTTAGGGGTTAAATGTGTATTTTCGAGTGTATTTTATTAGAAGTGCAAAATTACAAGTAAGTCTAACAATTTTTGAGTAACAGTTAAAAACATGTAACATTTTCTTTTTCGAACTTGGATGACAAATTACTGTGTATCTATATAGTTCATCAACAGTGTACAAAGTACCGTATAAATTAGATTATTATTTAAAATTTCTAAATATTAATTTGTCGAAATTATTATGACTCACAATTTTTGATACTGCATTAATGTCTATTTCTATTTTCTTTGCAAAAATCGGACAAACAAAGGATGGGTGGCGCGCAGAACGAGGTCACATGTAAAAGTAATGTCGTCGGGCTTTGTGACTGGCTCGACACGGAATCTTCTGAGTAAACTTGACATCATTATCTTCATTTCCATCATAGCAAACTTTTGACCTGGAAGTAAGGATGTTAACTCAATACTTCAAGGAAGCAATTTTTCTATAATTTAGTGTATCTAGATAGCAGTCATCCCTGAAAATACCATAATTGTTTTAACGCAGAGCGAAACTCGATCACCCTGTTTTATGTACATAGACGAGCAAAAATCATAAAATGGGCAGCTGCGTCCTCCTTATAAAAAATAGATTAAAAAATAAAAATAGTTGCCGGCTCACCTACAAAGCGCTTCAACTCTGGCAAATATTACCATAATGGGTATGTTTAGCGGTGAACTTTGTTAGATTGGTACGGTATTTATGATGATATATTTGTATAGATTAAGGTTAGTATAAGATATAACAATTTTTACCTATGCAGTTTCTTGGTCCTGCACTAAAGGGAAGATATGCATAAGGGTGCCGCAATGTATGGTTTTCAGAAATAAATCGCTCGGGAATAAACTTATTAGGGTTAGGATACAGGTGTTCATTGCGATGGATGTCAAATACATGGATTTGACACAGGGTACCTGAAGGAATTGTGTATCCACCTGAAAAAATCATGAAACATTACGCATAAATTTAGTTACAATCGATTCAAGCATAATTATATTTAGTTGTAATAGCTCCTGTTTTTACCAATGTTTTAACGTTTAACGGTCTGAAAACGCACTATGCATTAAATGCGTGCATAGTTACATTTTGTCTTTAATTTAACGATTAGCTTATAATGGATATTCCTGCATTATGCAGGTGTGAAGTTATTTCTGAACTATTTATAGCAGGCCAGTGATGACGGATAAAACACTTTAAAAATGCTCATATTATTATTTTAAGTAAAGCATAATTTTCTCTTTACAATGCTAAAATAATTCAACGCCAGTGAGGGCCTCTTTTGTTGTAAGAATGTTCTGTAATTATTCCCACGCTTGTTAGATGGCTTGACGATCGTAATACCTGGCGAGGAGCATCTTTTAGGCTGCTTTGCATATCCGATGTCTGTAATATGTATACATATTGAATCGTGTGGGAACCTAACCGTACCCGATATAACAGTTATGTGAACAGATCAGAGACTGAAGATAAGCAATATTGGAGACATGGGGTCGTAAAAAGTGCCACATCGAACCAAAACCTAAAAACAAAAAGATTTTTTGATTATTGTTCACTTTGGCTGGGATACAAACTTAGAAACCAGGCTACTACTACTGTTGGTCTTTTGTCACTATTGTTGGACATGTATTGTTAAATAAAGCGTTAAAAATAGTAACAAATACATACTTAGTTCAACTTCTTCTGCAATATATCTGGATATGAATGGAACGCTAGGGTAAAGTCTAAGAGATTCTTTAATGCAGCATTCTAAATACTTCATTTTGGCAAGATCCTCTAAAGTTGGACGTCTCTGAGATTCGCCAAAAATACTCAGCATTTCTTCATATATCGAAATCTGTAAATCCATATTCAATACACATCATATTTAATTTTATTTTATTGCTATACTACTTTTCTGTAAAATGAGTATCGTACGAGGGAAAATTAAAAGTTTGCGGAAAGGTAGTGTAACTATTTGGGGCTTAATACTAGTTTGAATAATAGAGTGAAAACGATGATGAAAAATTGAGTTTCGTGCCGTGATTAAGTTAAGATTAAGCAAGAAAAACTCCACATATCATTATGGAAGAAACTTCCTCAGACATTGTCAAATAAGTTGACAAACTTGTTCTTGAAGATGCTCGTCTGAAGAAAAACGAATCAATGAAATAACTGGAGTATCATCTATGACCATTTGAATCATTCTCCATGACCATCTTGGTATGTCTAAGGTCAGTGTAAGATAGGTGCCAAGAATATTTACACCGCTTCTTCCTGTAATCGCGCAAATTTTTGGAACTGTGTAGTGAGAACAGGGACGAAATTATGAACCGGGTTATCACTATAATTTGAGTCAAAGCAAAAGTCCATGTAGTGGCATGAAAAAGGCGCCCCAACACCTAGGATGTTCAAGGTACAATCAGCTGGAAAGACTATTGCTTTAGTTTTTGGGATTCAAAAGTATTTTATCAATCGATCATAAAGATGAAGGTTTCGAATGCGGGAAAGTAATTCGATACGCTACTAAAAAAATTGAAAGTAGAAGAAAACAAAGAGGAAAGCAGTCTTGAGGCTTGCTCTTTTCGCCCGTTCACGGAAGTCATGTGGCGAAGGTTTCCGTACACAACTGCGGCTTCGAAACTTTAAACGACTCAACGACGAACGAGCAAAACATTTTTTTCTGAAAGAATACATAAGTTATTTGAACGATCTGAGAAGTGTATAGGGTTATTGGAGAATATATCGAAAATGTTTATATAAAATAAATAAATAATTTAATTTCACCTCATTTCCCTTTTATTCCGAAAACTTTTTGACTTCCCTAGTATCATACAGTCACGTGTGAGATGATAGGGTTCCAATTGTAAATATTTATCACACTGAATCAAAATCGAAACAAAAACATACCGTATGTTTTTGTTTCGATTTTAATACAGTGTGATAAATAGAGGTATTCGCTAATCACCTCGTTAAACTATTTTATAGTAGAGGAACATTCAAGATAACACATTAGATTAATTGGCTACTGCAGGCATTCACTGACTTCTGGGCACTTTAAACAAAGAAGTTACAAATAAGTTGTGACCTCTAACAACTACGATGAATAGCCAGCACCGAAATATATTTCCAAAGCCTTTAAGCATAAGATGCATCAGTGATAACAATAGGTAAGGTGATATTTTCCTAAATGGACTATTAGAGGGTTAAGGGGTCCAACCGTTTTATAAATAAATAAACCAGTAGGAAGAGATCAGACGAAAGCTTGATGTACGGGTTAAATACAGTTTAAATCACAAAATAAAATAAGTTCAAAACATATGAAGGCTTTAAAAAGTATGTAAAGTACATAGTTGGCTATGCATGTAAGTGTTTAGGATATCTTACTTGAATATCTGGCTCATTAGCAATTCGCATTATCATAAAAGAAAGCGCCATTGCCGTTGTGTCATGGCCCTTAAAACATAAATGTTTATTTTATTTAAAGAATATATTTCAACTCAATGTTATTAGAGAGTATTTCTTTAAATATATGTTAATTGTTTATTATAAATTTAAAGTCCTTTATTAAATATTGTATGTACTTACCTCAAACATAAATGTATCAACTTCTTCCCTGATACCCTCAACATCTATCATTCCTTGTTTCTCATTTTCCAGAAGTAAATCCAGCATTGCTAGTCTACCTGTTTTACCGTATACTTCATCATCTCCATCTGCATTTGTTATAACATTATTATTTGTCAAATATGCTTTTCTCTCCTGTATTATTTTCATGGTAAACTCATGGAGATCTTTAATGGCTTTTTTCTGAATTTTCCCAATTTTAGAGCAAGCAAATGTAGCGTCGATGTATAACCAAACTCTTACTAATCTTTGGACAACAGATTGGCCGATCGTGTGAATAGCTTGAAAATATTTATCTGATATTATTTGTTGGTCTTCCTTCATTGAGGTACCCATAGCTGTCTCTAAAATAAAAACCACATTACTATATGAACAAGTTGTGTACAAAATACATAATATAATAACAATGTAATTAGTATTGTAATGGGCAAAAACAATTTATATGAATTAGTTACATATATTTTATCGACACACTAACTGCTACATCGAACAACATGTAATATCGATTCAAATTAAATTAAACTACTACAATAATATCTTTTAAAATTTTAAAATAACCACAGGGTTTATGTACCTGCCGCATGCTACATTTACATTTCTGAGGTTAATATCGAAAATGTTGATATTCATTTGTCCATGACATGTAAAAACTTACACGTATTCACAGGCAGATAAAAAATTGTAGAAAGCTGGACGTATTACGTTTAATAAATAAAGTAAATTAAATTAATACATCTCAATGAACCAAAGGTTAAAAAAAAGACGCCTGTTAGTCATAAAATGTTAATGTTTTACTAATTTCAAATGTATGCAAATACTATTCTGAATAATTGAAGCCTTTGTATTAAGTTATATTTCACAATTTATTAATTATGTGCCGTAATTATTGACATTAGATTGACATAATATTGTTATATTGACATCTTATTGCTGAAATTGGTAAAAAACTAAGAATTGATAATTGATAATCGTGCTGTTTCTACGCCGATACCGGTAAGACATGATCCTAAAAGTCGTAATACAACAACTTATTGTTTATTTCAGAGACATGGTCTCTGAAATAAATAAATAAACACTCTTTTTCAAAAATTTTGCTGTTCATTGTTATTTTATTTTAATAAATAAAGTAAACTAAATTAATACAACATCTCAATGTACACTCTTTTTCAAAAAAATTTGCTGTTCATTTTAATTTCATTTATATGAGATAAGAAATATTTATTTATTTATTATTTTATTTATTTATTAATTCTTTATTTGCGCAATATGGGTACAGATGGTGTTACAGTGGTCAATTTACATTGTTGATCGCCATATTTAGGCTCATGCCATGCAAAAATTCTTAATTTTATGCTATAGATTAAATTAAAATTATTACATATCAAATCATAGTGTCTAAATAATTATTAAAATAATGTCAAATGAGATTACCTAATTAATACACAATGTCAACTTTGTAAAATAATGTCACATAAAATGTCTAATTAATGTCACAGTACCACTAAGCCGGTTACAATACTGCATCTATTAATTTGTCTTCAAGAAATTCCCTTACCGAATAATATGATTTTTCTAAAGTAGTGTCTTCACTTTTTTTTTAAATAAATTATTATTTGAAATTTCAAGCAGAGAGTTGGGTAAATGATTATACACTCTCGGAATCATACAAAATACACTGCTGTTTAAAAGTTTAGTTTTGTTATACATGAAGCTTATTTGGAAAGGGTGTCTCTTGCTTTTTAATTTAACAAATAAGTTACTATTATTTCTTACAAATAGCACCATATCCAGTATATAAATACACGGTAGTGTCAATATTTTAATCTTTGAAAATATCGACCTACAGCTCTCGGTTTGTTTCATTCTGTATATAGCCCGAACGCATCTCTTTTGCGCCCTAAAGACCAACTCTTTTCCCACAGAGTTGCCCCAAAACATAACACCATACATTAAAAGAGGAGTAACATGTCCATGGTAAGCCGTTAAAACTGTTGATGTACTGCCAGTTTTGGACAACATGTAGATCGCATATGAGTATTGATTAAGTTTCGAACACAACATCTCTGTATGTGACTTCCAGTTTAGTTGAGAATCAATGTTTAGTCCCAATAATTTTATTGTCTCTACTTCTTCAATTTTTGTTTGTGTATAGTAGATTTTCATGTCCATTAATTTGTGAACTCTGTTTCGAAACGTCATTAATTTAGTTTTTTCCAAATTTATTTTTAAATTATTCAAAGTCAACCATTTAATAATATTATCTAAGGTATTGTTTATGTCCAATTCTATTTGTGTTTTTTCTTTTCCTGTAAATATAATTGTACTGTCGTCAGCAAATAAAATAGTGTCATTGCTTGTTACTTTTGGGAGATCATTTATGTATATAATAAATAATAATGGACCCAATACACTGCCTTGTGGCACACCAAAGTTTTTAATTTTGTACTCTGATTCATAGTCACATATAATTTTTTTGTGAGGACACAATCTCGTTATGTGTGTAGACTGTATTCTGTTACCAAGATAGCTCCTAATAAGATCATGCGTATTTCCCCCTAACTCCATAGGCAAATAGCTTATCTAGCAATATATTGTGGTCAACATAGTCAAATGCCTTTGTTAGGTCCATATAAAGGGCGCAGGCATGATTTTTATTATCCATGTTTACCATAACACTCTTTAAAAATGAGAAAACTGCCATATTTATAGTTTTGTTCTTTCTGAAACCTACCTGCTCTTTTGAAAATAAATTATTTGTTTCGAAATAATTATTTAATCTTTCATGAATCACTTTTTCAAAAACTTTAGATAGAACCGGTATTAATGATATCGGTCTATAACAGCTCATGTCATTTCTGTCGTTTTTCTTAAAAATAGGTTTGATTATGGTTAACTTTAATTTGTCAGGAAAAAGGCCATGATAAATGCATTGATTGATAATATGACTCAGTACATGTGATAATTTGATAGAAACATATTTTAATACTTTGGTTGAAATATCATCATAACCCGTACTATTCGTAGGTTTTAAATTTAAAATAATTTTATTTATTTCATTCGGTGTTGCGGGTTTCATAAATAAAGATTTAGATTCACTTGAAATATTAATTGGTGTTCTATGCGGGACCAATTTGGTGATTTGGTTAATATAATATTCATTAAATTTATTCGCTATGCTTATGGGATCCTTAATTGTAGTGTTATTGATAGTAATTTGTTGTATTTCCTGATTTGGTAAATTAATTGTCCTATTATTAATTATAGTCCAAGTAGCTTTGCATTTGTTACGAGCATTATTTATGAAATTGTCGTTTTTAACCTTTTGTGTGAATTTGATAACACGACTCAGTCTTGATGAAAGGTCTATAAAACTTCTTTTATTATTTTACGAGGGTGGATTGAAAAGTACTCGGCCTAACCAAGAAAATAAACACATACTAAATCAGTTATATTTTTATTTTTCTACATAATCACCATCAAGTTCAATACAATTTTGCCACCTCCCCTTCCAAGCATTTAGACCGTTGAAAAAAATGATTCTTCCTTAGAGTCAAAATATGCGTCTACAGCTGCTTTGACCTCGTCGTTTGTCGAAAATCTTTGACCTCCCAAGTGCTTTTTTAGGTTAGGGAACAGAAAGAAGTCTGATGGTGCTAGATCAGGTGAATACGGCGGATGCGGTAACAGTTCAAAGCCACAGTTGTGAATTTCAGCCATTGACTGTACTGACGTGTGAACACGGGCGTTATCTTGATGAAACAGGACTTTTCTTCTGAGCATTCCTCGACGTTTTTCTTTTATTTCCTCTAGTAAACGACGTAGTAAAGTGCAGTAGTAATCAGAGTTTATAGTCTGACCCCTTTCAAGATAATCAATCATAATCACACCTTTCGAGTCCCAGAATACTGAAGCCATCACCTTATTTGCCGACAAAATCGACTTAGCCTTTTTAGGGGGTGGTGAACCAGGTCTTAGCCACTGTTTTGATTATTGTTTTGTTTCCGGTGTACAGTAATGAACCCATGTTTCGTCCATAGTAACAAAACGATTCAAAAAATCATCTGCATCGGCTTCAAATAACTCCAAACAGTCGCGTGAAATAGTCAATCGCGTCCTTTTTTTGTTCAACTGAAAGCAGTCGCGGAACCCACCTCGCAGACACCTTGTGGAAACCCAACTCGTTGACAATGATGTTTTGAGTTCATTCATAAGAGATGCCTATAATCTCGGCTATCTCTCTAATTTTTAATCTGCGGTCTCCCATTATTAAATCAAGTACTTTTTTAATATTTTCGTCAGTAGTTGACGTCGAAGGCCTTCCAGAGCGGGGTTCATCTTTCACACTCTCTCTACCACGCTTAAATTCTGCTATCCATTTTTTGACGGATGAATATGACAGAGCACAATCGCCTAATGTACTGACCATGTCATCATGGATGGCTTTTGATGATAGCCCCTTCTTATGGAGGTACTTAATGACGGCACGCTGCTCGATTTGCTCCATTCGCGGAAATTATGTCCGATTACTTTGTTAATAAATTTATAAAATCACAACTAATTATCGCACACGTTTCGAACTTCACACAATGAACTAGTCTGAACTGAACTATATAATGTGGGTAGATTTGATTTTTAGAATTGAATGGATCTGTGTTAGGCCGAGTACTTTTCAATCCACCTAGGTATGTTCGGTTTTTCCTATATTGCCAAAGAAGCTGACGTTTACGTTTACAGCACTTTTTTATACCTTTCGTTATCCATTTTGGCTTCACTTTGAGTCTTTTTTAATATATTTTACAGGAAAACATAAGTTATAGAAAAGACGGAAAAAATCATAAAAAATGTTAAACGAAGTATTTGGATCATTGCTACTAAACACATCATTGAAACTTAGAGCGTTAATGCATTCTTTAAATTTATCTAAATTCTCTTTACAGTAGTCCCGCGTTTTAATGTACCAATGTTTGATCAGACAACTTACTTTTACTGGACATGTAAGTACTTGTGCAGTGTGATCAGATAACGCAAGATTCAAAACTCTTGTTTTACAGTCACGAACATTATACATGAAATTGTCAATACATGTGCCACTTACCAATCTAGTGGGCTCTTCTATGCCTATTTTCAGGTTATACGCAGATAGAATTTCACTTAACTCAATAGTTTCCTTACTTTTCTTCAGAGTATTAATATTAAAATCGCCACAGAGTATTACTTTATTTTTTCCAAGGCAAAACTGATTTAATAAAGAAGTAAATTTTGCGAAAAACTTATTGATATCTTCAGAACTTACCCTGGGGGGTCTGTAAATGCAGAATATATATAGTTTATGTTCAGGTAATTGTATTCCTGAACATTCGATTATACCTTCAATCGAATATTTTTTATTTTTTTATGTACCAGAATACAAGATCCACCGCGACGATTTCTACGACTAAACACTGAACCCAATGAATAATTTGGAATGTTTAAGATATATAAATCAATACTAGACATATTGTGTTCGGTAATGCATAAAACTTTAACATCTTTTACACTTTCTATAGATTCTAAAGATGTAGTTAATAAGTCACACTTGTTTATGAGGCCGTTAATATTTTGATGAAGTATACTTATTTGGTTATACAAGAAAAAAGTTGGTAGAATTAATTTGAGAAGGTGTTTCAATTGCCATGTCAGTTTGGGTGCTACTGTCAGAAAAGTTATTACATTTTACAAGGTCGACAAACATGTCAGTTTGGGTACTATTTTCAGTAAAGGTCTGCTTATGTTCCGGTATGTTTTTTAAGCTTTTACAGTATATCTCATATTTTAATTTATAATCCACACGTAATATTTCTTGTAGAAGTAACTGGCTTGTATATAGAGGAAAATATTTGCGCCTAGGTATCATGACAGAATAATTCATTTCAATAAAATTAACATACTTAAATTCAGAGCATATAAATTTAATTTCATAATTTAATTTTCTTTCATTAAGATATTTGCTACGTGGTACTTCTGATACTAAAATATTGGGTTTGCTCACATTGTTCAAAAATTGTCTAAGGAAAAACAATAGTTCACGAGGATTTTTATCATTAATTCCTCCAAGTATTATTACAAAATCATTGCTGTTCAATTTGCTTAACTCAGATTCTGCAGGCGCTAACATCTCTTTTAAAGGGGTTCCATACTTTGAGTAACAAGTTATTATAAACTCATAACCAACAAAATTCTGCAGTGTTTCTCTTATTTTATAACCTTGTTCGTCCGCTACAATAACAATTTTTCGTTTCCATACTTTATTACCCTTTTCATGGGAATTTATTTGCTCTTTACTTGCATACAGAAGAGGAGTATCACAGTTTATTTCTGTTTTTTGTTGAATATCTTTTTGCAATATTTTATTTGAAAATGTAGTACAACAGGCAGGCAAGTTAATGGGTTTTTCAGATGGTATTGTCATAATATTAAAGTTGTCATTATTTATTGCATTTTGTTCTAATTCATCTAAAGATCGATTTGTTATGGGAATTAGGGAATTATTTATACTTTGAACATCTATTCCTGGGTTTGTTATTTGTGCTGGACTTTCAAAGATCTTATTTTGTGAATACTTTCTTTTGCCTCTTGGTGTAGGCGTCATACTTTTCCTGTCAGATGTGATTATTCTTTTGTATGAGTCTATTATTTTTAAGGACTTATCAAGGTTAGCTTTCAGACGAAAATTTTCGGAATTAAGGTTCTCAATCTCTTGATTAGCACTTAGAAGATCGTTTGTTAACGATTTAATTTTTTCATTTAAGTCTTGTAAAGTTTGACTATTGTTGTGTAAGGTGTCAGGTAGACTCATTATTGTCGTATCAAAAAGGCGAGATTCTTCGATGTTAGTCATGTCACTTAGTGAACTAGTTCTGTAAGGCTTTCGATATGTTATGTTTTCTAAATCCATGTTTCTTTGAGTCTGTTCTGTTTTGTATAATAATTGTAATTAATTTTGTTGTTGTTTATACGAGTTGTTGATACGATTTATCCTTTTAAATTTATAAAAACGAAGAAATCACAAAAAGTGTAATTGATATTTTGTGGGATCCGAACTCATACTTCGTTAATTATGTGGTCAACACTTAATGCATCGCGCTACCCGTTCTTTTACTAATACATGTGAAATTGCGATATAGATTGTTCGTTTATAATAAATAAAAGTTCGTTAAACAGATTTAAAAATTGTTCTGTAGTTCAAAGTCCATTCTTTTTGTTTAATGATGAACGCTGTTTTTTTCCGTTTTTGTTGGTTTGTATCACTTTTTTTTCACTTTGTCACTTATAACACTAATTGTTTATTTTAAATAGTATACATTACACTTTGAGCACATTATTTGAGTTTTATTAGAATTAATATTGCCTTTCACTGTTGAAGTTTTTTTGTGTTTTTCTTTGTTTGTTTTTATTTGAATCAATAGATAACATTATCACTAATAGTCTATGTCCTTATCCACTCAATGAACTACACATAATACATATATAATCACGTTTAGTAGTTTTAACCGATAAAATATACAGAGGTAAATTTAACACGTCTTATACTGACGGCGCCCTACTTATTTCCTGATAATATTATAGATGATTAAAACTACTTTTACGGATTTTATCGCGTTTATTTTTTCTTACTTTTTATTTTTATTTTTAATTCCCGACGTTTCGGGCGCTTTCCAGCACCCATGGTCACGGGGGACTGAGATGACTGACGTCCCGATGTCATTGTTAAACCCGGAGTACCTTCAGCTTTTTTAATTATTGTTTATGGTCCGATCTATGCAAAATGAACTGACTATGTCCTGAGGTCTTGCAGTGGTATGCTTGGGTTTAGTTTTAATTTTATTGATTATAGGATCCCAAGCAGGTGGTAGTACCCAGCCTCCTTCTCTATTGAAATTAGGATGTTTTTTAATTTCAATAGCCTCACGTATCATCCTTGGTAGGAATCGGTGTTCTTTCGCGAGGATTGGCTCAATACTTAGCTAAAATATTATCACCACTCAGAGGACACACAAGAGCACACACTAAGGATTCATACCATTTTGTCAGTGAGATAAAAGACCTACATCTTACTGACAATGAAACCATGGTCAGTTTTGATGTTCAGTCTCTATTTACATGCCTACCTGTTGAAGACTGCATCTCAATTATAACTAGGAAACTAGAGGAAAATAACATGCCAGCAGAATATGCAGTATTACTAAGACATTGCCTTACATCTGGCTATCTATTGTGGAAGGAAGAGTTTTACAAGCAAGTAGATGGTGTGGCGATGGGCTCACCTGTATCTCCCATTGTCGCCGATATATTCATGGAAGACTTTGAGGAGAAAGCCCTCCTTACTGCACCTGTTACACCAAGGATCTACAAGCGGTACGTAGACGATACTTTCACAATTTTACCATCAGACAAAGTAACTGCATTTTTAGAACATCTTAATTCCATAAACGCTAAAATTCAATTTACTATGGAGTTAGAGGCAAATAATTCCTTACCTTTCCTAGATGTGTTAGTTATCCGAAATCCTAATAACACCATTGGTCACACTGTGTATAGGAAAAAGACCCATACAAACCGATATTTAAACGGTGAATCTCACCACCATCCTTCACAGTTAGCTACCGTGGGCAAATCTTTGTTACAGAGAGCACGAGGGATCTGTGACAGCAAACACCTGGCCGCCGAGCTTCAGCACGTCAAGCAAGTTCTGCACGACAACAAGCTTCGGGTCCCGCGCCTACGTCACAGTGACCGAGTGAAGCCGGCCACAGTCGAGCGTGTGCCTGCTGTACTACCATATGTCAGAGGTGTCACAGACAAGATTGGCTATATCTTGAAGCGAGCTTCTATTAGAACATTCTACAAGCCGCCGAAGAAGATTAGTCAGTTCCTACCATCCGTCAAGTGTCATATTCCTCTACAAGATGCAGGAGTGTACAAGCTTGATTGTGAATGTGGTCTCTCTTATATAGGACAAACCAAAAGATCAATTAGGACCCGCGTAAAAGAACATATAGCTGATGTGAAGCATCAACGTTCCGGGAAGTCTGCAGTTTGTGATCATATCCTAGACGGCCCCAACCATTACATCAGATTTGATAGACCACAAATCCTCGCGAAAGAACACCGATTCCTACCAAGGATGATACGTGAGGCTATTGAAATTAAAAAACATCCTAATTTCAATAGAGAAGGAGGCTGGGTACTACCACCTGCTTGGGATCCTATAATCAATAAAATTAAAACTAAACCCAAGCATACCACTGCAAGACCTCAGGACATAGTCAGTTCATTTTGCATAGATCGGACCATAAACAATAATTAAAAAAGCTGAAGGTACTCCGGGTTTAACAATGACATCGGGACGTCAGTCATCTCAGTCCCCCCGTGACCATGGGTGCTGGAAAGCGCCCGAAACGTCGGGAATTAAAAATAAAAATAAAAAGTAAGAAAAAAATAAACGCGATAAAATCCGTAAAAGTAGTTTTAAACATGTGCAATGTTCGCGTAAATATAAGAAATCATAATATTATAGATCCTGATAATAGTAAATACATGTAAAAATAATGCCCAACTAGTCTGACCATGAATGTTTCTACAGTTCTGTTTCTAAGTTTATCATTAGACTATTTTGTGTGTCATGTAGTCATTTAGAAAATATGTATCATGGCCTTTCTAGCAAAACTCTGATTCACAATGAGTCCTTTTCAAGGGCCGAAAGATTTGTCAGATATATAGAAAAATATTATATGTGTACAAAAATTTTATGTACATGATTTTTCATTCAAAACGTTTCTTGATTGAAAAAAAAATGTATTTATAAATTTACCCTTTTTATTATCCTGTAACAGTTTTCTCTTTGATAGAGCCCGATCCATCGTATGAAGAATTTGTTCTAATGAGGTGAAATGGGTAATTGGTTTTTTTTAATCTAGCACCAAACGATAGTATAAAAAATTGCTATACATACCACACATGACGTTTAGCGTTGTTTTTGTTATGAAGGGCAGTACATCGGTTTGGTTGTTGCCAACTTCAGCCTGGATTTTCATCAATAGCTCTTCTGCTTGTTCAATCATCGTACGAGAGTATTTCTTCAAAATATTGAAATGGAATGTACGCGTCAACATTTTTCGTCGTTGATACCATTTATTGCCTAGGCAGTAAAGAAATATCTTAAAATAGGTTTGTTCATTCATATTAAATAAATAATTACAATACATAAACATAAGTAAACATGTTTAAATTTTTGCAAGAAATTTTTCCAACATTTTAAATGAAACAATTAATTGGGAATGGGCTAAGCGCTCGCACACAGTACGCCAGAAATCCTGGATCGATCCCCGCCGGTATCAATGAAACTTTTTTTAAGTGCTGATTTAGTTGCATTGTCGAACAGATTTCCAATTTATGACCCCATTGTAAATACTGAAAAAATTGCTGAGGCTTTATTTCGGCCTTAAATTTCGTATTTAATATTCATGTAGTGTTAATCCAGTGCACACTTCACCGTATACCGGTGATTATGTGAAAATCTTGCAGGTTCAATATATTAATACGTGGAGGGAAAGCTTTGTACCCATTTTTAAGTATGTTGCGCGTATGGACAAATGTGAGATTTTGCATAGTTAAAGTTTATATGGAGCCAATGCCAAACACATAATTGTCACTTGAAATTTCATATTGCCAATGTCCCAGATTAAGTACAAGCATATGTACCATGTTATTACCCTAAGCTTTCTTACAACCGCTTAATAATCTTTGGTCAGGCAGTCGCAAAAATAGAGATTGTTGCCTAAGAATTTTAAAAAGTTGCCAAGAAATAATAACTGACAGATTGACCATTGACTTCCATATATACTGGTACCGTAAACATAGGAAAGTAATAGACGGCCATAATGTGCAAGGAAGAAGAAAATTCTTTATGGCAATAGAGCAAGATAGAAAAGAATAGCAAATCTCATAACTCTGTGACTGATTTTGATTTACAGGTCGGCATAAGTCGGCACGCAAGGAATGAGCTGCTAGGTATTTTGGACTTTTTTGAGTATAATAAGTAGTGGTTATCTTTAGTAAGTACAATGGAATTGTCTTCGAAAATGGTTACCAACTTGTTCTTTGAGTGACTGCGGTGTCAATAATAGAAAAAATGCTGATAATTGTACATTTCACAGGTAAGTTCTAAAGTCGTCCTCACTGCTATGACGCGTTTATTAAATTTATGTTATAACAGGCCTGTTTAAGTCCGCGCTTTAGGCATTTAAATATACCTACGCTACACGGTCGCCTTTTAGAAGATAATTCCGTGAGGTTATCACGCGCACGCTCCAGCTGATACGCGTCTTAAGAGGATAGAGTAAGTCAGCTCAAATTCTAATTTCGTCCCCACTTGCCCGCGCGTCGTATGCTATGTACCGACATGTTTGTAATCACTTATACTGTAAGTAGAAAGGTAGTTAGACACTTATTTCATTAGGTTTATCATATTTATGCCTGTTTCTTAACGCCAAGCCAGCCGCTCCTTATTTTTATCACGGTTATTTCCCATTTTAATTTTACGTCGTACTGTTGCGTAATGTATATTCTGATCGTAAGCGACACAACCTCCCCGTTCAAAGGCCGAGGCGAAGTGACCGTGCTGCAGGAATCACGCTTCCTAAGGCCGATAGTTTAGGTAATTTCTTTTTACAGTGAAAATAATGGTATTTTAAAAAAGTTAATAACATAAGCACTGCTTTGTAGTTAGTTCAGTTAGTATGCAAAGTTTCATGATCTTATTTAAAGTATTTTATGAATAACAGCGGTTTATTGTTTATTTTGGAGGTAACTTTGGATTTTTTTCTATCGACAAAATTTTACGAAATCGTGTTTTCGTCTAACATAATCCTTAACATTAATCCTCAACTTTACCATATATTTATTTCAAAATTAATGCTGCAATATTTTCGGCATAACGAAGGATCTTGCTAAGCCATATGAGATTATATTTCCCTTTAAGTTAACAAAAAACAAAGTTTTCTCTTATAAGTATTTAGGCATTTTTGTATTTATTTTCGGATTTTTATTCAAGTATGGTCTTTCCAAAATCCAAAAAAGTACTGCATAGCATACGGGTACTTAAATAACAATAGGATCTCGTCGACTTTTTATTCTTAACTGCTTCAAAGGATATCGAAAGGTTAGAAGTTATTATTTAGAGGTAGATCTAGATAATTACGTACCTATAGTCAACCAAATCTAAGAAATACATTTTGACAGCTGTCAGACTTATGGCACCAAGCATTAAAGTTGTTTAAAACGACTATAAATCAATAGCACGCTACAGACTGTAAACTATAAATTTCTAGCGCGCTATTCAATTCGTTATGTTATAGCGCGCTATTTATAAGAAAGCGTGTAGGAAGCCGGCAAGCGCGTTAGGTTTTGCAGCACGCTATATCTCGTAGCAAGTTACATTACATGTCGGTAATTGGATAGACCGCGTGCTATATAAGATCATTATTTCGTAACAAGTCGAATTTTAGACTAAAATAAATTTTTATTTAAATAAAGCGGTAAAGAAAAACCAACGAACGCTTTTTCGTACAATTCAGTCTTACGACTTTCTATAATCTTAAAAATATTTTTAAGGCATGTACTTTTTAAAACGACATAAAACTAATTATTTTTTACTAAAATTAATGTAAACGTTACTTTAACCTCAATATAAATTATAAATCAAATAAAGGTGTATTTAAAGTTTATTGATTGTGTTTATAAAAAACAACTATTTATATACTTTTCTATCTATATTTTATTTAAATTTTAAAACATTAGTTAGGCTTCTTTTATAGCAACTGTGTCCTTCGATCACTTATAAATATACAGTATACACTAACTAAACAACGTCTAACACTAAATTAGGTCGCGCGCGATGAATAGCGTGCTACTAGTTCAAATTTGCGTCACACGTACTGTCCCAACAGCGCTGCTGCTAGAACTAGTTGCCGCTAGATATTAATACTTAGTAGCGCCAAAGCGCCATAGCGCAACAACGCCATAGCGCAACAGAGCCATGGCGACTACTTACATAGCACGTGCTATGTGTTATGGAGAGATGGCGCGCTATAATATGGCGCTAAGCACTTTATTAACCACCATTACCAAGCATGCCAACCAAAAGACGGGAACGTACAATATTCGATTCCTAAAAAATCGATATCGATTATTTAGAGTTGGTAATCATTTAGAGTTTGAATAATACCAAGTTTTAATAATACCAGAATAGATTAAAAACGGATAATTTAAAACACAAGATTTATCAGCTTCTTCGTATTTATTGTTACTGCTTATTTCTAGAGGCACAGTTATAAAAATTTAAGATTGAAACTAGATTAAAAATAAATTTATTCAATCACTTTCAGTACAACTAGTAGAGATGTCGTTGTTTATATTAATTATCATTTGATTTTTTATAATGCAGTCAAAATTAATGTCTTTCAAAGTCATCCATAATCAATTTTTTTTTGTTTTTTCTATCACTTTTGCTCAATCATCCTTTTTGACATGGGCACATGCTTCAACCCCTTGGGTCCGAACAATTCCTCAGATCACTCCCCGTGATAGATGCGATAAAATACGCAAAGAGATGCAACATCTCTTCGCAACGCCAGTGAATCGAGCCGATCGGAAAGCTGATCCAATTACATAATTTCTCGGGAAACCCATAGGAAGGGAGCTTCGAAAGAAGCGCTTTGTGCCAAACCCGATCGAAGGCCTTCGCAATGTCCAAACTAACGGCCAATGCCTCCCCCTTGGACTCTAATGCCAGCGCCCATCTATGAGTTAGGTAGACCAGAAGATCACCAGCTGATCGACCACGGCGAAAACCGTATTGGCGATCACTAATCAGCTGGTGATCCTCAAGGTACCTCATGAGCTGGCAGTTTACAGTGGACTCCATTGTTTTGCAGAACAAGGGGGTGATGGCGATAGGCCGGTAGTTGGACGGGTCCGAGCGGTCGCTTTTTGTAGGGATCGGGTGGACGAAAACTGTCTTCCAAGACTTTGGGACTACGCCGAGGGAGTAGGAGTACCGGAAAAGACGCGTTAAAACCGGTGCCAACTCTGGAGCACACGTCCTCAGTACAATTGGGGGGATTCCGTCAGGCCCAGTCGACTTGTGGATGTCCAGGGAGAGTAGTGCTTTGCGAACCGAGCTGTGTGAACTGCACTTACGGCATGGAGCACTCACACCGCGGGATGGTCGGTAGCGTACTCCCCCCGTCATCGCGAGTCGAGTTGGATGCGAAGAAAGAGCCTAGCAGATCGGCTTTCTCCTTTGCGGTATGGGTCAGTAAGTCGTCCTCCCTGTGCAGAGATGGAAGAGATGGCTGACAGAAATTCCCCTGGACAGCCTTGGCAAGAGACCAGAATGCACGGGTTCCAGAAGGAAGGAGAACTAGTTTCTCGCCAATTCTGCCTATGTGCTCTGACTTTGCCTTGGCAATGACTCTTTTGAAGGACCTGGAGTCGGAATTATACTTCTTTTTTAGAGCGCTGGTGTTTACATCCCGGGACGTTTATGCATCAGACCAGGCTTGGTAGCACTCCTGCTTATAGCATGATTCTATTTTACAGGAGTGACCAAACCGTGGCTGAGATTTGCCTCCGATGGGCACCACAGGGAAGGAATAAAAAGTTCCATGCCCTGAAGTACCACATCAGCGGAAGAGTCCGCAACAACGTTGGGATCATCCGGCGAAAAGCAAACGTGCCCCCAAGGGTAGGGTGTAAAGAAAGACCACATGCTATCCCAATCGGCTGACCTATAGTGCCAAACACGGCGGCAGCTTGCAGAATGCAACTGCGATTTCAGCGTGAGTGGCACCACTCTCCGGACAAGGCAATGGTCCGAGGAGCCGAAAGGGGCGTCGACGGAAATCTGATATCCGCCCGGGTGAGAGGTCAGCAGAAGGTCCAACAAGGAAGGTGCATGATTCTCCACATCTGGAATCCGCGTAGGCGAAGTAACCAATTGTGTCAGACCATATGCCAAAGTAAAATCATGAACAGATCTCCCCGCATGATCGGTTAAACGTGAACCAAGCCATTCGGCGTGATGGGCGTTAAAGTCGCCGAGGATCACGATCTCTGCGGAGGGGATCTGCTGTAGCA